TTCTCTCCCCTTAGGCTGATCTGAATGTCACATTTGCCAGTGAAGACACATGACAAAGGTCACGTTCTGTGACCCATCCACAATCCTTGGGGTCTGCAGACTACACATCTGCAAAGAGGCAAAGAGCCTCGTGGCGCAGTGGTTAAAACGCTGTACTGCAGCTAAAACTGTGCTTACGACCTGGGGTTCAAATCCCAGGTAGCCGGCTCAAGGTTGACTCAGCCTTCCATCCTTCCGAGGTCGGTAAAATGAGTACCCAGCTTGCTGGGGGGGCAATGTGTAGCCTTTATAATTAAAATTGTAAACCGCCCGGAGAGTGCTTGTAGCGCTATGGGGCGGTATATAAGTCCAATAAATAAATAAATAAATAAATCTTTCAAATGAGCTGGATCCAACAATAAGAGTTTCTTATGACAACTGCTCATCCAGTCCATCGCCTTGATAAAATTGCTTAGAAGGGAATGAATGGCCCTTGACTGTGATGTTTTTAATATGTAGCTTTATGATTTGCAAAATTTGTTACAATCAGAAGCCAAAGCAATGTATATCCCTGATCCCTGCACCTCTTTCAGGTATGATGGGGAGGCACATACAACGTCTGAAAAATCACACACTGACTGGTGGTTCAGGCTGCAGAGCTATTTGGGATCCGTCTGCATGAACCTCTCTCATTATTATCAGACAGGCAGCCAAGGGTAGCTGGGTTCTGTAAGTGTCAGCAGAATTACAAGAAGCTTAATTGGCCAGAATCAAGACTGCAAAATATACGTGATGCAATTCAATATAAGTTTACATTCTGATCTATCAGTTTGGGGGTTTTGTGTGTGTGCACCCATAAGACCTTTCCTACATGCTGGGAAAGAAGCTGCCACAGTTTGATGTAACGCAGAGCAGACATGCGTATGTCAGACTGAAAAATCATCATACTTTCATAATGAATATACAACCTGAGCACTCATGGCAGGCATAAAATGCTGCCTGAAAGAGTCAAGCTTTCATGGATTTTGGAGATGATCAGCCTTACAGTACAGAACTGAGAACCTAACCTATTCATAGGAGCCATACATAACGCCACCTAACAAGTCCCAAAGTGAAGGTTACTCACTTTGCTGTATACACACACAGACACCAGCCCCAGCAAATCAACTAATTCATTTGGTAAAAGGTGTCCAGGAAGTCGCAAAGGAACTTCCGAGTGAGTGTAAGACACTCATGCTGGGCTGTGATAGGTAGGAACGAGGGGAGTGTGAGTTAGATTCAGCCAAAGACAGAGTCCTAACTAAATTGGGGTACTTTTGGAAGGCATCACTCTGTAGTGAAGCTGGCCTTGCATATGGTGCCTCATGCTTCAACAAAGCAGATCCTTTGTCTCCAGAAATATTGACTTGAATGCAGTTGGTAGTCCCACCTGGAAGAGATCCGCTAACAGGTTTTAAATCACTTGTTGATTCACTACTCAGCAATTGATTCAGTGGGTTGATTACAGTAGTCTCATTAGCAGTTGGATTTAGGCATTGCCTTTTTAGGGTTAATTTCTTCTAAAACACTGTGCAAATGCATGCCTCCCCTTCCCCATGTCCCTTGCTTCTGATGAAAACAGACCCTTCCAGGAGAGAAGCGAGGTTGAGTGACGAAGGCACCTACCTTTTAATCAGGACTTTCCCAGTCCTTTTCTGCTGGGGAATGAGCTGTGGCTCAGTTAAATTGCTACAGTATTTCTTCTATTTCTATAAAAAGTGTTTCTGCATTAGGTTTTGGGGTAGGCTGTCTTAAGGTTCTCAGTATTCATGATTCCAAAATCTTTTCCTTTCACCAAAATCTTTTCCTTTCAAACATTTTAAATCGATTCTTCTCAGATGCTGCTGGAATTAAAAATCTTTTATCAATGATGGCTCTCTTGGGATTGCTGTTGTTTTCCTTTTTAAAGCTCTGTAATGTATTTTACATCATCATTGTGCAGAATTTAGGCGGTGAATTCACCTCTTTCCCTTAGATAGGGAAAAGGTCTTATTTTTTTGCATTCAGTTCTTGCTGCTCTTCTGTTCTTCTAGTGCAACATGGTGGGGGTGGCAGTGGCAACACTCTCCCATTAGTGCCATGGCAACAGCAGGAACTGACCTCGTTTCCCCTCCAAAACAAGACGTGTGCAGGGCACACACCTTGTTTCTCAGGCTGATCATGTTTCTGGAAACCTCCCAGAAGTGCTATTAACCTTGCAAAGAGCTTTCTCTCTTGCTTTCTCTCTCTTTCTCTCTCTCACACACACTACACACAGTGGTTTCCCAAAGTGTCTCATTCCTAATAGTACTCCTGTTTCAACCTGTTTCTGCCTAGAAGACCCTCATAGGTCAGAACTCTTGAGCAAAGGAGTTTCAAGAGTATGAAATGAAGAAGGATATTTTCTTTTCATTTTCTTTTTCTGTCAAAACAGATAAACAGATAGTTTGACAGAACTCCAGGAGGCTATGGAAGACAGGAGGGCCTGGCGTGCTCTGGTCCATGGGGTCATGAAGAGTCGGACATGACTTAACGACTGAACAACAACAAGAGGGTTTAAGCACATGGCTGGGTATGGGCCCCAGCCGTGAATGTGTTAGTAGTGCAAAGAAAGGGAAATATCCCTTTCTAGTGCAGGGAGGGGAGTTTTTTTTTTTTTAAATCACAGTATTACTCTTCCAGGACTCCTAGAAGATATCATCGTCGTTTAGTCATGTCCGACTCTTCGTGACCCCATGGACCAGAGCACGCCAGGCCCTCCTATCTTCCACTGCCTCCCGGATTTGTGTCAAATTCATGTTGGTAGCTTCGATGACACTGTCCAACCATCTCTCCTCTGTCGTACCCTTCTCCTCTTGCCGTCACACTTTCCCAACATCAAGGCGTTTTCCAAGGAGTCTTCTCTTCTCATGAGATGGCCAAAGTACTGGAGCCTCAGCTTCAGGATCTGTCCTTCCAGTGAACACTCAGGGTTCATTTCCTTTAGAATTGATACGTTTGTTCTCCTTGCAGTCCAGGGGACTCTCAAGAGCCTCCTCCAGCACCACAATTCAAAAGTATAAATTCTTTGGCGGTCTGCTTTCATTATGGCCCAGCTCTCACTTCCATACATCACTACAGGAAAAACCATAGCTTTGACTATTCGGACTTTTGTTGGCAAGGTGATGTCTCTGCTTTTTAAGATGCTGTCAAGGTTTGTCATCGCTTTCCTCCCAAGAAGCAGGCGTCTTTTAATTTCGTGGCTGCTGCTACCATCTGCAGTGATCATGGAGCCCAAGAAAGTAAAATCTGTCACTGCCTTCATATCTTCCCCTTCTATTTCCCAGGAGGTGATGGGACCAGTGGCCATGATCTTAGTTTTTTTGATGTTGAGTATACATTCACCTTAATCTGAACACACCAGTTCTCTTTTTCCTTCCTTGATTTACTTTTTTTTTCATACCCTAACATTCCATGTTGTTGTTGTTTAGTCGTTAAGTCGTGTCCGACTCTTCGTGACCCCATGGACCAGAGCATGCCGGGCCCTCCTGTCTTTCACTGCCTCCCAGAGTTTTTATGTTTTGCCTGCTGTCGGTCATGGACTTCACTGATGTGACTCAATACCATCTGCTTGACTTCTGGCTCCTTTCAAGTTTGCTCCCTCTGCATCTGGGCCTGGGAAAGAGTGACTTGCTCACAAGGGGAAGGAATGTAGAAATCAAGGGTTTCAAGCTAAGGACATCAGGCCAATCCATCCCTAATAACTAAAGGAAGCAAAAGAGACGAGTTTCTGTCTTTGGCACTTAATGTGGGGTGAGATGAATGTGGGATAAGACAATCGAGGTGAGGTAATTCTAGGACATTCTCTCTGTGTTACTCTCTTTTTCTCAGCTCATCAATAGTCCACAAATCGTGTAAATGTGTAGGTTCTTTCACAGCTTTTTAAAAATCAGACATATACTTCTGGGTATTATGGTATCTCATAGATTTATAGAAGCCTTATTTTCTGATGGAATCATTTTGTTTTCAAATGCTAAGTACACTTGAGTTTGCTATTATTGCATGCTGTATAATAAAGGGCCACTGGCCCATATGTTCTGGGCCATTTGATGTATTAGCTGCCCAGAAAAGTAGTTATTGCTAACCTGCCTCAAATTATTGTCTAGTCTAGAAAGCCAACATATCTCCTCTGTTTTTAAGAGCTCACTTTAAGTGTACAAATGTTCCTCCCTGTACGGGGATCTTTAAAAGACTCATATATGATGCATTAGGCCCAGAGCTTGGAAAAGTTCCATTTTTCAAATACAATTCCCAGCATCTCCCTTAAGTTCTAAAAAGGGGACTTCTATTGGTTATGCCCATAGCCAAGGCTACCTGTCAGAAATAGTGATCCGTTTTAGGGATTAAGCATGACGCCCTGGCTTTGTCCAGAACAGACGTTGATCTCCATGCCACAACAATAATGCCTCGTATCACTGAAATTCCTCACATTTGTATTTGCCAAGGTGTTTTTTGGGGGGGGAGGGGGAGGGTTGTGCAGTTGTGGTTGTTACTGCATTAAATGTGGGCCTATATGGAAAGCACGGGCAAAGGGAGATGTTGAGGTGCCTCATATCCTTGCTACCCTTGATTCTGTGAGAAGGAGGCAGTTTTTCCGCAAGGTCAAGAGCAAAGCAGAAGAAAGGAAAAGGGAGTGAATGCATGTTAGGAAGTGTATCTTTATTAACTTATGTTTGGCATCTTGGGCTCTTTTGCTTGGAACCAGAAAGAAATGTAAAACACTAAAAATGTCATAGTATGTGACTGTATGTCCTTTACAGAGTCCCCATTTACATCAGTGCATATGGGAAAGCAAAGTAGTCCTAATTTGTATTAGTGGGCTGTTGGGCAACTCCAGCTGTGTCACAGACAGCATGCTCTGAAAGATAACTGGCACTAAATGTGAACGGCTGACATTGAAAATGACGTTTCTTAAGCTATCCACAGAGACAGCAGCATGATTGTGAATCACCACCATGAGAGTCTTTTTTTTTGCATGTGTGATTTAGCATCCCAGGGCCCAGCAATGGAAGACTTTAGAATTCAGTCATTAAAGTGCCTTCAGTGGCTGCTGCTTTGTTCTTGGTCCATCCGGAGATGAAGGAGAAGGTCACTTGCTCTTAACAGCGATCCCGTTCAGTGCAGAAGAAGTGAAGAGCTTTCTGTGGATACAAACCAGCTGACTAGAGAGAAACAGACTCGTCAGAGTTGGAAAGGTGTGTCGCTTACTCCTACTGAGGCCGTTCCCTAGGGCTGGTCCCAGATGTTCCTACCGCCTTCTCCCCCCAACCCAACCACCCACCCACCCCCTTTTCATTATCAGACCTCAGACTCTAGACTGGATATTCGCCTCCAAGATCTTGCTGCATAAGGGCTCTGCATCCTCTGGGTTGTCAGGAAGTCCCTTCTCTCAGTATTGATCATCTGAAGAAAGGATGGATCCACCCGGCTCCGTTCCCTGCAGTCTCTGTATGTGCTGCCAAAGTACATGGTCCTGTGACCATCTTCATGGACCATGAAATCCCTGCTGCAAGGAGACCACGGAGCTCGAGTGAAGCAGTGCTGGGTGACCCCGGATTGTTCGCACAGTTGAGGAGAGCCCTGGTAAATACGCCCCCAGGGAACAGGCAGGTTTGTGTAAGAGTTCATGTAGGCATACTGCTTGTGCACCACCGTGGAAGCCCTGCGCACCCCTGGAGAGTTCTGCACGCAGGCCTCCCGGTAGGAGGGGAGCTTTGTGGATTGTGAATGCAGCAGGCGTTCGTCTTTCCAAGACAAACCGTTGGCCTCCACATACTTCCTATTGCACGTATAGCTTGGCCTAAGGGCATTGGGAGGGTAGTGATGGACTCCGTGATGGATTCCAGGCACGGTTGTTGGTTTTGGAGTCAGGCCAGCTTTGGGGAAGAGGTCTGGCATGTCCCCATAGCCAGGAGATCTTCCATGATGCTTCCAGATGCTTAGGGACTGGGGTCTCTCTTGCTGCTCCGGCAACGGCCTTGGGAGATTAGCTCTGCGGCTGTGCTTCTGCCTCCTTAGCTCTGCAGTGTCAGATTCTTGATAAGGGAAGGGTCTGCAAGTCCTGTCGGCCTTTGGGAAAGGATTATGCTCACAGGCATGAGGCAAGAAGGGACCTTCCGACTCCTTTCTTTTCTCAGAAGCGGAAGCCAGCCTGGCCCCTTCGGCCGAACTGTCGTGCCCACCTTCTCCATAGACCAGATGAACATTCGGGTAGAATCGCTCCTTCCCATGCCCTCTGGCCATGGAGAGCTTATACTCGGAGGGAGGGAGAGGGAACTCCCTAGGAGACCTGAGTGGGGAGTGGGGAGCTGCACTAAGGTGGTTTCCAAGCGGTACTTGGTTTCTGAGATGGGGCTGCAATGTGGGTCTCGCCACATAATGTGAGGAGCTGTTCACCGTGGAACCTGGAAGAACCTTATCCTCCGAATAGGTGCCTCTGAACTTCAGGGGATGAAGCACTTGAGGCTGCTCAACTGTCCCACTCCAGTTTTCGCCAGCTGGCACCAAAGATGGCTGGGGCGCAGGAAGTGAGGGTGGTAGAGGCCTCCCAAGCTTCTCAGCTGCTGCTGCTGCATTCGAGGAATGGGCTGGCCTATGAGGCCCACTGGTGTTTTGAACAACAAGCTGTGGAGTCTTTAAGGAGAAAGTTGTTTGGAGGTTTTCACTCCTGTTAGACCAGTTCTCAATGGTACGTGTAGCGTTTTCTAGCGAGTTCCCGACACTGGCCGTTGAAACCATGTTCTTGGCAGCCTGTAGCATCTTCAGCACATTGCTCTGAGCAGAATTTGCTGTGACGTCAGGCTTGTGAACACGAGCAGGACTCTCCAGATTCTGGACTCCATTAAAACAGCTGTAAATGCCCTGGGGAAATACAAGAGAAGAAGAAATATAGTGATAAAAAAAGCAAAGCAGAGAATGACAAATGGGCATGTCCTGGGAAGGGCCCAATCCAGGGGATGCTGGCGTATGCGCCGCTTCCAAGTTCTTGAAGGAGAGGCATATGGACATTGGGTGACCTCATTGCGCTATTTGGAGAATGAGAGACTGATCTACTCAGGAGCTCTTGTTGATTTGGGTCTACTCAGTTATTACATCCCTTTAGGGTAAATCGTATGGTTATATGAAGGTCAGGAGGGGCACCTTTTCTGCTGGAATGGTTTAAAGAAGCAAGGAGTAGGGTGCATTTTCTTCTTCTCCAGCCTTACATTTGGCTGCAAGGTCTTGATTCCACTGTGAAGATCCGCTACTGCTCTGTGCTACAATGGCCTTCCCCACTTACCGGCACTCCGAAAAGAGCTACCTGAGATTTCTAAGGAGTGGTTTACCATTGTCGCCCCATAGTCAGTTTCCATGGCTGAGCAGGGATTTGAACTCAGGCCTTCTGATCCCTAGTGCAGCATTCTATGCACTGCAGCAGTCTGGCTTTCTAGTTAAACATGATGGATTGGTAGACAAGGGCTGAGAAGTTCCCAGCCCCTGCCATCCTCTCAATGCAAAGGGCCTGGCCAGTGGCTCTGCTTTGCTCTCCAGGCACATCCAGATCCAACTCCCTTCTTCTTGGTGGCATTTCAATGGTCACATGTTGTTTCTGAGGAGATAGGTTTGTTTCTCTATGAGGGTTCCTGTATTCTCAGTTGTTAACATCTCTTCTGTCCTCATTGCATTCTTAACTTTCTTTTTAAAGTGCAAGCTGGTTTTATTTAGTTTTGTAAAATGCCACACTACCCGAGGGCTCCAAATAATGATAAATAAGACGCAACGAGCTTGGTTATATAAGAATCTCAGAATTCTTTTTTTCAGATTCAGAATATAAGATTCAGAAACTGGGAGCTAGTTCTTTTGCTTTCAGATCTGTGGCTGAAAGTACAGTTATGTAGTCAGTTGTGGTTTTTCAGGCTCTTTGGCCATGTTCTGGATGTTTTTCTTCCTAACGTTTCACCAGTCTCCGTGGACGGCATCTTCAGAGGACAGGAGTCAGAACTCTGTCTGTGCTCTGGATGTAGTCAGTATGTGGTCAGTATCTGTCACCTGCTGAGTTCTGAGAGTACACAACAGATTAATATCTACAGAGATTTCTTAACTTATAGCAGTTCATGTCTAAGCATTGTGCTGTTAGTGTACCTGCAAAACAGGATTTCAGCCTGTGAGTGAACTTACACTTTCATAGAATCATAGAATAATGGATTTGGAAGGGGCCTATAAGGTCATCAAGTCCAACTCCATTCTCAATGCAAGAATCCAAATCAAAGCACATCTGACAGATGGTTGTCTAATTTTCTTTTGAATGCCTAGAGCATTCACCACCTCCTGAGGTAGTTAGTTCCACTGTCATACTGCTCTAACAGTTGAGAAGTTTTCCCTTGTATTCACCCTAAATCTGGCTTCCTGTAGCTTGCACCCATTAGTGTGTGTCCCGCACTCCAGGATGATAGAGAACAGACTGTGTTTCTCTTCTTTATGGCTATCTTTCAAATATTTGAAAAGTGCTTTCATACTGTAACTCCCCTCAGTCCACTTTCCTCAAGGCTAAACATGCCCAGTTCTTTCAGTCTTGCTTAATTTTATTTCACATCTAAGAAATTAAGCTCATGAAATGCAATCTAATATCTAGAAAGCAATCCAAATTGCTTGAACAAACTCCACTCTTTCTGCATACTGTTGTGGAGTCATACCAGATCAACATTAAATAGTTTAAATGCATTTTAATTTGATTAAGTGATGCAGTGGCAAGAAACATCCGAGGTGTTTATGATGAAGCATAATACAGCTTCTAATTGTGGATGTAAGAGAAGGGGCAAATCAATTCCCTAGTTCCTTCTCTGACATATTTGTAATTGGGAGGAGATATTTTTTATTGCTTTAATTTCAAACACATTTCACACAAATTAATCAGCAACAAGGCATTCCTGTACAAATTGCTTTGAGAAACCATCACTGGATGCCTTGCTTTATCTACATGTCCTGAATATGTTTTTCAGGACATATCATTGTGTCCTTTGCTACCACTCCTGCTAATTTAGTTGTTACTCATACGTCTAGGTCTGCAGTAACTTAAGGATAAATGGGACTTTTTAAGTCAACCTTTATATCAGTCCCACTGATTCAATAGGTCTCTTGGGACAAACAATTTTGTTGTAAAAAAATGACATCAAATGACATCAAACTATTCTGATTTCTGGCCAAATGAGTTTCGTGTCAGCGCAACAGAAGCAAACTCTGCTGTATTCCTCTGGTCATCAAGATGGTGCTGTGACTTAAGTTTAAAATGCAAAACTTCACATGCTCTTAGTCTTTTTTGGTATGCTACAGTTGCAAAAAGTGTTGGTTTTGGCTCTAAGTATCAAGAGTGCAGGAGGAGTTTGAAGCCTCGGATGGTAGTAATAAAAATGTCAGCTGCATACATTAAATAAAGTACCTTTCTGCCTAAAAGTTAAAATGGGAAATTAAGACCAATGTGAGTCTGTATTCCTCTGGTCATCAAGATGGTGCTATGACTTGAGTTTAAAATGCAAAGCTTCACATGCTCTTAGTCTTTTTTGGAAATTAAGACCAATGTGAGCCTAGGGTCTACAAGTACAAAGTGCCACTGCCTGCAATCACTCCAGCACTCGAGAACCTGTCCTTAGATGTGAGTTCCAGTCTTGTCAATTAAAAAGTGAAAGGGGTCTACATATAAACAGAAGAGGCTCTTACCCTGCTTATAGCCAGAAGGAAATCAAGTTTGTGTGACTTGGGGACAGAGTGCCGCAGCTTCCAATACACCAGGTGTTCCCAAGCAAAAACGAGCAGGCTCAGCCCCATGGCCACCAGCAGCATGTAGAATACTCCCGCCATGTTGTCAATGTCTAGCTTGCTGCTCATCACCTCGTTCTTTTCATTTTGGCAGATCCCCGACAACCACACTGTTTCCAATTTCTGAGTTTCACCTGGGACACAATGAACAGACAAATGGACAAAGAGAGGAAGAGGTTAAAATCCTAGCCAAGCAACGTTTCTCTTTGGCTGTATATACTGTATCTCTCTGTTCAATACTCCACTCATTTCTTACCAGCAGTAACCTAGGACAGTGATTCAGGGTGCTGAACAAATCACAAGGGAAAGAAGAAAAAGAGAGTTGCTTTGTATGTGTTTTACAGTTTATATTGTAGGATTATCATGATGCCTCCATGCTGCAAGAAAGATATTTCTTTAACATGTCCAGCCCAAGGATACAGTAACTGAAACTGACAATACTGTATTGCAGCTAATCCGGGGTGGGTGGGTTCCAAAATAATGTTCCTGTCGTCATAAGATTTCAAGACCCACATATTCTGACTACGTCCATTTACGCCCTCAGATGCCTCCACATTTGCTCTGCCATACAGTGGACCCTTGACTTACAGACGGCTTGACTTACAGACTTTTTGACTTGAGAACCGCCTTCCAATACGGATTAAGTTCTCAAGTCAAGACCCCACTGTATTTTCCTAACCTTCAAGCTTAAAACAGCTTTTTCATCCAGAATGCCAGTTTGCTTTGTTGGCTCACTCTTTCCATTCACAGGACTCAACTGGAGTTGTAGGAAACACATGATTAAATCCATATTTTTCATAGAATCATAGAATAGTGAAGTCCAACCCCCTACTTGATGCAGGAGTACAAATCAAAGGATATCTGCCAGGTGGTTGTCTAAGTTTCTCTTGAATGCCTCCAGTATTGGAGCACTCACCACCTCTCAAACCAATTTGTTCCACTGTCGTACTGCTCTAACAGTTAAGAGGTTTTTCCTGATATTCAATTGAAATCTGGCTTCCTGTAACCTGAACCCATTATTGTGTGTTCTGCACTCTGGGGTGATTGAGAACAGATCCTGGCCCTCCTCTGTATGAGAGCATTTGAAGTCTTTGAAAAGTGCTATAATATCACCCCTCTGTCTTCTTTTCTCATAGCTAATCATGCCTAGTTCTGTAACTCTTTCCTCATAGGGCTTGGCTTCCGGCCCCCTGATCATCCTTGTTGCCCTCTTCTGAACTTGTTCCAATTTGTCAGCATCCTTCTTGAAGTGTGGTGTCCAGAATTGGACACAGTACTCAAGGTGTGAGGCCTAACCAGTGTTGAATAGAGGGGGACTAGCACCTTGTAGGATTTGGAAATTGTACTTCTGTTAATGCAGCCTAAAATAGCATGTGCCTTTTTGTAGCCTTTTTGGTGTGTGTGTGTGTGTTTAACTTCAAAGCAGAATCCTAGAATGCTAATTTTATGAAAGAAACATCTTGGAAGAAGGTGATGTACCTATCTACTCCTCATCCTCCCCTGAACTAACAGTGGTTTAGTGGCAGCCTTTTAGATCAAGGGAATAGCCTGGGCAGAAAGAGTGAAATTTATTTTCACCAGTTCCATTTCCTCAATCACATGAGCACAATCTCCCATGACTGCTTTGGAGTTTCACACTAAAATAAGATGCACAGATCTCCTATATCACACCTATCTGGATCTGAAGAAACTAGAGAAGCTAGAAATGAAGAAGAAATAGGTGGCTATTATGATGTTGGCTTGCTGATTTCTTTCGGTCCCCAAGCCAAAATGCCCTGTACTACTACTAGTACAGAAGAGACGAGTTCTATCTTGCTCTGTTCAATCAATACAGTATTTTGAAAATAGTTAAGTATTTCTGGAAATTAATCCCAAACTGAAACCATCAATCAGCTACAAACCATTGCATTTAAACCAAGATGTGGCCCTGGAGACCAAATGCTAAGGTCCTCGAATACATAAAGCTCATATATACAAGGTCACGAAGAGTCGGACACGACTAAACGACTAAACACACACACATATATACATGTGTGGAGTGCATCTTCTTGATAAGCCTATGCCAACTGTACATCTGTGAACAGAGGTCCTCGAATACATAAAGCTCATATATATATGTGTGGAGTGCATCTTCTTGATAAGATTTGGGAGTCTCTGTGAACAAGAGACGAGACTCCCAAATCCAGCCATTTCCAATAGCTAGGACATCTGTGGTGCTTTTCTTTATCCTCTCTTCTCTACCACTCAACATATCTTTGCTTCAAAACCTAACATTTAGGACATGGTAAGTTATGACAGGACTGAGTATGAGGGGAAAGTCAGGAGCACAATGCAGCAACAGCCTTTGCTTCAAAACCTAACATTTAGGACATTTTATGACAGGACTGATTATGAGGGAAAAGTCAGGAGCACAATGCAGCAACAGTCTAATCTATCTTCTAATTGTTGTTACCCATATAATGTGTTACTACTCGTACAAAAACAGCATGAATATTCTCATTGCCATTTGTATCTTCGTAGCTTGTCTTCTGACTCACGGATCGTACATTACGTTTGAAATTTTAATGAAAATATTTGGCCCCAAATTCTTCCAACCAACCACTTAAAAAATGCAAAATAAAACTGGACAATTTCTTAAGGAGTCCTGAAGAGACAAGAGTGTTTTGTTCCTTATTGAACAGAAGAATGAAAGAAAGAAATTTTCAGGCACCTGACAGGAGATGTTGTTCTTGATTTAATGTGAACCCCACATAGCACCGCAGAGAGGAACAGCTCTCTGACATCTCTTCCACACGTTCTGTAATAACTACGGTACTAATTTCTTAAGGAGTCCTGAAGAGACAAGAATGTTTTGTTCCTTACTGAACAGAAGAATGAAAGAAAGACATTTTCAGACACCTGACAGGAGATGTTGTACAGTACTTGATTTAATGTGAATCCCACATACAGTAGCACCGCAGAGAGGAACAGCTCTCTTGACATCTCTTCCACATGTTCTGTAATGACTACGGTACCCAGATCACAGGCTGACTGCTTGGTTACATCGGGGACAGCCAGCATCCAAGCATATTATAGCACTATTTTGGGACAGGAAGTTAACTGCCAAGGTACCCAGATCACAGGCTGACTGCTTGGTTACATCGGGGACAGCCAGCATCCAAGCATATTATAGCACTATTCTGGGACAGGAAGTTAACTGCCAAGTAAGTATGTTTAGGATTGCAACTAAACGACTAAACACACACACACAAGTATGTTTAGGATTGCTCCATTCATAACATAGTTGTCATTTGTATGTGAAAAATGCCTTTCCCTCAAAGCATCCACAGCAGTCCTTCAAACATGGGGAGTGGGAGAAGTCACTTGTTGTGGAAGGGGACAGAATTCCCCACCCCCATCCCCACAATCTTCACTGGCTGTTGGGATCTTTGAATTTAAACAAAGAAGCCCTATATTTTGGCTGAGGAAAACAGGAAGAGAGGGTATAAAGACACAGTGGGCTCTGCTCTATGTTTGTCCAATTACTGTGATAAAATATTTTCCTCAGCTCTAGAAAGGAACAAAATGGGAGATGGCCTCTTCTAAAAATCAGGGAGCAAAAGAGTTTCTTGGAGCAGGACAGAGAAATACTCACCATCTCCCAGGAATTGCAGAAGGGCTAAATCAATTGCCCTCTTCCACTTGGAGTCTTTCTGGAGGGCAATGCCATAGCCGGTGGTGGCAAAGACCTTCCCACTGCCAATGGTCACCAGCTTGCAACCTTCATCCTTGCCCGCCATGTAGTTGAGCACAGCAGCATCATATATAAAAGCATCCAGCTTTCTGGAATCAAATGGAAAAAGAAACAGCAAATGAAGGAACTGTTGCTATGAGAAAAACACGCGAGGTAATAACAGGAGCTGCCCCTTAGCCAGTGTACTATTCAGAACTTAGTAGGCAATCTGGTGTCTTCCAGGTATTATAGACAGCAATCTTCATAATCCTTGATCATCAGCCATGTTAGCTGGAGTTTGTGAGAGTTACATTCCAAATCATCTAGAAGAAGACCTTATGTTGGTCACCTCCTGCCATAGTTTGTTTGTTTGCTTGTTGTTCGTTCGTTCATTCATTTATTCATTCATTCATTCATTCTATTTATATCCCGCCTATCTGGTTGTTATGACCACTCTAGGCGGCTTACAAAATCATATAACTATAAGGATATAAACTGCCAGGCCACAAAATTCCACTTAAAAATGAACTACACCCATGTCCAGTTGTCCAATTGGACTTACTCTGATGTACAACATTAACCTTAACCATATTTAAGCTTGGGTTCCCAAACAAGGGAAGAATGGTGGGACAGAAATTGATCAGATAAGTAAATAATAAATGCACATAAGCCTTTTAAAGAAAAAGTTAGAAAACTTGATCTGCTATTAGTAACTTAGTTTGCAGTGTAACTGAGTGGGTGGGAGATGGAGGGCGGGCAAGAAAGCACACAATCCTCATGCTTAGACTCTTTTGGAAAAAACAACTCAGTGCACTCCAACACAGAACTCTGTGTCTTGGCCTGTGTGTGAGAGTACTTCAAGCAAGTACTTTTTTTAATGCTTAAGAATTTAAATATTAACAACAATTAAACAGATACTCATTACCATGCTGGTGTGCATACAATGGCACTTGCACACCACATTCCACAAGACAACCACAATAGTTAATAGGTTGCAAGATAAATTGCATTTTCCCAGCTAAAGGGTCTTATAGTTTGAGGGATGAGAAAATATGATTTTCTGCATAGAAAGAGATGCCTAGAGGGTTTTTTTTTTTTAAAGGATATCCATTGTCATACGCTGACATGGCAGTTGTCTTTTAGGAACAATTACACTTGGAAACTAACTAGCAGACTATGGCTGTGATCCTGTGGCCACTGACTTGGTTCCACTAAATTTAGTAGGGCTTACCTCTAAGTAACTGAACGTAACGTTACACATCAGATGTGGAATTTCTACAAAAATAAGGGATCTGTTCCCACCTTCACCTTTTCAGAGGATCCAGTATGCTTGGTGAAGGAGCAAGAGTTGTTTACTGCACCTCTGATGTATGATAGATGCATACCGAAATATAAGTCTGATTTGCATAAAACTCCCCATCAAAATGGGTGAGGGAGAAGGATTGTTTGCCTTGAACTTATGCTTGCCTGGCTGTATAGTATCTGTAGCTCTTGCAACCCCACCTTGAGCGCATGAAGGGGACATGCTTGTCCATACATCCCACACTGGAGTCTAGAACAAGGGAAGAAATTAAGTGGTCCAACATCTTCCTTTACTTCTCTAAAGGAGTCTTTCATCCTAATCTCAGTTTACTATACATGTCCCCGCTTTAAAACCAACGATAACAATAGGGAAACAACAGAGTGGAGTGGGAAACAGAACCAATGGAACCAAAGAGAAGAGACTGTAAAGAGATTCCCATTTATTAAGAAATTATAGATTAAAAAATCTGATTTTTTTTTAAAGGTGGAGATAACATGGAGACATCCTTTGCTAATATTAGGATGCACTGAGCATTTTGAATATCACTAGCTACATCTGCAAAAGGAAAGCCAGTGATCACAATTAAATACACGTCACAAGTACTGAGGAGAACACATGTCGACAAAGATGCTAGTGCTGATGTTAATTGATTTAACTGTCTCACTAACTTATTCATATGATATGAAAATCAATAAAAGTCTTCCTCAAACTAAAGCTGAAGACTCATCACTTCAGGCAGGCTTTTGACAGTCATGATTGAATCCCTGAATGGCCCCCTTAGAATCAGATAGTTTTCAGTGTTCTTCTGTTTTTAATTATTCAAGTGTATTTTAATTAGCATAGAGTTTAATTGTTTCTTAATGGTTAACTTATTACGTTTTTAACTCTATTTCTTTAATATTGTGAGCTGCCATGGGTCTCCTTATTGGTAGAAAGGCGGCATATGAATCAAACAAACAAATGAATAGATAAATAAGTGCTTTCTACAAGTTAAAAACATCCTGAATATCAGAGAAAGCTGAAAATATTTTCACATATGTCATGGCCGGAACCTTGGATAGGAAGAATACTTCACAAAAGTAACCAGCGTTTCAGAACAGAGCAAGCGAAGAAATATATGGATAAACCACAGGTATCTGGTGCCTGCTTCTCTTGCTTGACTCATGCTCTGATGAAAAGAGTGGAAGAAGGAATTAAATATTCTGGCAAAAAATATAGCTGCCATGTGACAGAATACTGTAATACAGTCAAATGTATGGTTAACATCACACAACACCAGAGAGGCAAAAGAAACCTCATATGCTAAAGACCTACTGGAAAAGGCAATGACATGAAACTGTGCATTGTCATTTTGACTCATGGCAACCAGTCCATGAATGCTTCGAAAAAAACTGGTCAAACATACAGCATATCATGGCCTCAGCAAAGCTTGAAATAATTACTTTTTTAAAAAAATACAACTTCCAGAATTCCTTGGCTAGCATGGGATATCAGAGTTCTTTAAAAAATTAACTGTTTTGGAGTTCAGTATGCACAGAAGACATGCAAGAGACCTCATCAGACTAATCAGAATGCTTGTCTGAATTAGTTCTCACAAAAGAAGGAAGAAGAATATAAGGTTGGTAGAAATCTATAGCCAGTATCCTGTTCATTGAATGCAGAGTGGAAGAGCAATAGTGGAAAGGCTCCAGCAGGCTCCCTAACTTGTTCTCAGTTGCGTTATTGATCTCACAACCAGTGTGTGATGAGGCATATGACAGGGAGCCAGCTGGAGCAGGGGGAATGCTTACTCTATTATTGCTGCATGAGAGTTGCATATTGTGCAATGCAGCAAATCAGCATTTCATAAGGCAATTCTAAAAAATGGGGGCACCCCTAAATTTTTTAAAAATCTAACTTTGAAACTGGATGATTCTGACCTTGATTTCCAATGACATTCTTTGCTAACACCAACCTCTTCTATTTTTATTTCAAAAAGCAAAGAGACATATTTTGGAAAATATGCACACAACATTTCCATGAAGCTTTTGGTCTAGTATAGCTTTTCTTCCTCAGCTTGCCGAACAGAAAGAAAGGGCTTGGAAATTGGAACATAGCTTTCCAGTCTACATTTGGTGGAGTGGGCATGGTAACATTAGTTTAACCGAGAGATGAAAGGTTGTGTGTGTTTCTCTGTTGTACATGTTGTACTTACTCAGACCTTTGCTTCACCATTTCATTAAGTTCTAAACATCCCTTTCAAATATTTTGGCACAGAGGAACTAAAGCTATAGCCAAGCTGTTCTCATTTCTATCTTCTCCAAGTAACCATAGCATAGATCATAGGATCATCTTCTGGAATCCTCTGCCACTGGGTCATTGTATAGGAGGGAAATTTATGACTGAATTTGTGTGCAGCAGACGTATATATCAAAAAAAAATATTTTTAAAAAAGCGGAAATTCAATTACGTATTCAAAAAATCTCTGGTTTAAGAATGTAAGATATTGTGCTTCTATACCCATGATTCAAAAAGCCCGTGTTGCCAACAGGAAAAAGGACGCCAAGCTTTGCATAGCAAAGGGGAGTGCTGGAACGTTGACAACACCAATAGCAGTAGTCGAGATGGTCTACAGCAGAGGTCGTCTACCCCTGGCCTGTGACCTGGTACCGGTCCATGGCCTGAGCTGGACTGGGCTGCAGAGACAGACCTCGCGCCCCCCGCACACACCTCCCTCCCCACAGCTGTTTTGCACATGCGAGTGCATGCCAGCGCTGGCATGAGCGCTCCCCACCCCTTCATGGCTGTGCCCACATGAAGGGGTGGATGGGCGCAACTGCGCGCATGCAGGTGCTCCTTCACATGCACAAAGGAGTGAGGGAGCATTTGTGCTGGAGCTGACGGGAGAGCATGTGCTCCCCCACCGCTTTGCGCATGTGCCTGAGACCGCGAGCACACCCACACAAGCACAGGGGGTGCCCCGCCTTCCTCAGAAGCTCAGCTGGTCCGTGGTCCCAAAAAGGTTGGGGACCGCTGGTCTACAGGATACGCTCTTCTGTCACTATCATTCACACTTGTTGAAAAACAGCCCTGACAATTGCTTTGTGTTTGGGTGAGATGTGATTAACTGATGAAAAAAGGAGTCAGTTTCTGTGATTTTCTGTCGCATGATGTCACTTTGTGAATGGTAGTGAGCTCAAGCGGGTATCCTGTAGATCATCTTGACTGCTGTCATTGGTGTTGTCAATATCCCACCTTCATAAACCAGAGGTTTTTTGAAGAATTGAATTATCCTTCACCTCCGTATTTGCAGAATACAGGATACCTGTATCTGGAAGTTAAAAGGGGCAAGAACCAGAAACTAATGTCAGTGGATTTATTCAAAACATACAAAATAATCAGATCTGCGTATGAATTTATGCACACATGCCTTGAGGACATCATCTTGCATAGTGTTCTCATTGGGACATGGAGAAACCTACCCCATTTTGAGGCTGATGAGGGCATCCTCCACTGAGCGCTGGTTGTACTTCACCATGTGGGTGTGCATATCATGATAGTTGCTCCGAATGTTCCTCTCTGTGCTGCCATTGGGAACAGTTCCAAACCGAAATGGGGGATATTGATCCTGGGGCTTCTGGAACTGAGGTGGGAACAGCACACAAAAAGGTTTGTAGCCTAATCCAGTAAGGCACCAGCACCCTTTATTCACCTGTGCCAACAGGTATCTAAGTGTAGAGTTCTCTACCACTATTTTGGTGTATGTCTATTCTCAGATAGCTATATCTTTCTACTCAGATATATTTATTTTACTTTATAGATCACATTGCTAGAATGTTTGGGGATAGAATAATATGGAAGCCTCACACATATTAAGTGCAGAAAAGCAAAGCTCCCCAGTTATCTCCAGCCTTATAATGCCAAATATAGTAGAATGCTATTAGTCTATTAGATTCCGTAAAATTGCCTGTATAGAGTTAGCTACAAGAAGCAATACCTGGTGACCAGAAATAGTGAAACAATTACAGGTAAGCATTTCCTATAATTTTAAGCCGCCCAGAGACCTTTGGGTAGAGTGGGCGGCATATAAGTTAAATAAATAAATAAATAATACCAAAGCTAGAAAATGTAATAGGAGTTCTGCTCTTCATTACCAATCCACTCTACCTGTGGCTACTTTTCTAAGCTACCTGGTGTTATTTGTTACCACTCTCCGCATTTTACATTTATTATTTTACCACTCCCACCACCACACACACCCCAAGCCCTCCTCACCTTCTTATCACTCAGCCCAGAGACAGTATCAATGTATTGCTCTTGAATCATGAATGCTGCCAAATTAGCTGTGTAGCTGGCCAGAAAGATGACGGCAAAGAAGGCCCAGATGAGCACCATGATTTTACTTGTAGTGCCTTTGGGGTTCTCAATGGGAACGGAGTTGTTAAAAACGAGAGCCCACAGCAGCCAGACCGACTTGCCAATGGTGAAGGAAGGCCCTCCAGTCTCTAGAAAGATGGAACAGGGGGGAAAATATGGGTTGCAGACATAAAAAAGTTTATTTTCTGTTGGTGCGTAATGAGCCTTTAAAGTAACATAAATGCATTTACTTAATGATGCCTGCAAAACCTTTCTTGCAGCAGTTTCAGACACATTTGGCAGAATTTGCTATGGAAATTTTCTTTCCTCTTTCTTCCATTTGTTAAACAAAAGACTGCACCTGCTTTTAAAAGTCTGGTGGTGCAGCAGATTTTGACAAACATCAGCCCTAAAGGCTAGGCATGAAATACTGCTTGCAATCCTGGTGGCCCAATAGGGTCATTAGGAGGCCCAGCAATTTGTTTGATTGTTAATTAATGACATCAATGCCTACATGGAATCTAGTTTTCAAGGGATCTAGTTCTGAAGTACACTCTAATAAGAATTATCAGAATCTTCCGTATCTGTTGTGCATCTTGTCCCTCTTGCTATGAAAAAGCAACAAAAACCAATACATTAGAATATGTAGGGATGAAAAAAGGAAGGGAAGTCTTGTACAATTAGAACATGTTGGACTTCTGGATATGTCTGTTTTTCTTCCATTGGCAAAGATGACATTTTGTTGCTGTTTCTAAATTAAGAATGCAATTATATTAAAGAGGGGAAAGAAAGAAAGAAAACCAGCAACTCTGTAATATGAAACAAGTGCTGTCTGGAGAGCTCACTGAAATGGAGAAACTAAAGTTTGGAAGTTCGATTCCCCACTGTGCCTTTTGGGTAAAAAGCCAGGCTGTGTGGCCTTGGGCAAGCTGTGAATCAACTTGATAGCATGCAGTTATTATTTGTAATAGGAAATGAAAAATCTGGAAATGGTTCAAGGATGCAAATATAAAATATATTTACTTGGTGCCCTTGGTAGTGTTCTTCCTAGTAGTTAGCAGTTTACTCCTGATTTCTAGCATCCTTGCCCATTTTTGTTCACCACCATCACCACTTGAGGACAGCAAACTCTCCAAGGCTCCTGATGAGGAATCCAGAAAGCTCCCTCAAAGGTCTGAAGGCTGGGCAAAGGTGGCAATGGGCAGAGGGGGGAAGATTTATTCTTACTGCTCAAGGAACCTTTTCATTAACACACCTGTCAGGACGCATAAGTTTTAATGAGGCTTTTTGAAGGGCAGAGATGGGATGGCTGGCCTGGGGTTGACAGCTTCTCAAAGCAGCTGTGAGAAATCTTCCCTCTGGCTTACCAAGATGCTGAAACTATTAGGAGGAGAGGCTGCTCACAGAGTTTACAGCCCAGACCTACAGATCGGGCAGGCTGATCTGGCCAGCAGTTGACAGTTCAGAGACAGAGATGTTGACAGAGAAATGGATCATATCAGTCTAAAACACTTGTGGCGGGCAGTGTATTACACTGTGCAGAGGAAGAAATCCAGGTCAAATTAACCTAATCTGCAGTCCCTATGGGCATCTGAGAATGAGGCACCATGTGCCCAGGAATGCTTGTCCTATAGAATGGCAGAGAGCAGCCCCAAGGTTGTGACTTATATAGGAAACAGGGGGAACACTGCTTCTAAACAGCTTGCCCATGCTTTACATCTAGACTAACTACCTCATGTAAAGTTCAGATAAGTCTCTTGTACTTTTAATGGCTGCACAGAAGTCAGAATACCAGCAAGGAATGTGAATTTATCCTACAAGTGTTTCCATTTGCACATGACAAATCTTCTGTACAACAAACAGAAGAAAGATTACTGCCTGTCTACACCCAGTTCCCCTAAACTACTGGTGAGAATTTTAAGAAATCTCTGCATCTACCACCAATGACTGTAGGGGAATGGAATGGGATGCTTCACGGTTTGCTCTCCTGAAATCTAAAGGCATTCTTGGAAAGCATCATAACTTTCAAAAGTCATAAGTAAGTCTGATGGTTTGTAAAAATATAACTTTCAAGAGGATACACTTTGGTAGATTCACCAATGTCATTTACCAAAAAGCATGCTGCTTATATACCACTCCACAGCGCTCAAAGCACTTTCTGGGTAGTTTACAATTTAATTATGCAAGCTACATATTGCTCCCCCAGCAACCTAGGTACTCAATTTACCAACCTTGGAAGGATGGACAGCTGAGTGAACCTTACGCCAGCTATCTGGGATTGAATTTAGGTCATGAGCAGAGTTTTTGGTGCAGTATTGCAGTTTAACCACTGCACCACTTTCTATCACCTGTGCTTCACTGGGTGACTACTGTACTTCCATTATCTTCTTTATTGTCCATGTGTAGATGGAAAGATGGCCAATGGCATAACGCCATTGGGTAGTAAGAAAAATGCACATAAATGATAGTCACACATAAATGATCATTATTTGATTATTGTAGGATATTTTCTTGCTGCTTTGCCAATGCGTATCTAAAATGCCTGAAAATATCCTGACCAAAAAAAGAGGAACAGTTCAACTAAAAACTGGAATAGAATGTGATGCTTTTAATAGAGTAGATGATGCCCGACTGACAGAAATTTCCATGGGCTCCCTTGGATATGGACAAAATATTTGGTAAGGCACTGGAAATGGGCTATCCTTTGCAACTGCAGGCATTCTTCTTGTAAAACAAGACCCATCAACATGGCTGACTGTATTACAATGGAATGATTACTTTCCCAGTGTTGCTTGTTTGTATGAGAAGCAGTTCTTGCGATAGCAGGAAAGGTGCAATAGGTAATAGGCTCTCGGGCTGCAGCTCCTTGTTCTTGGGATACGTTTTATGAAAGACATCCAGCTATTTGCCCACCAACTGGAAGGCCCACTCACTGGACCATTTTGGAAACTTACTTTTGCCACTGGTTAAATTCTGATTGTAGCCAACAGGGCTGAAATATTCAAACATGAAGACTGTGATGGCAACAACTGTGAGACACATCACAAACATCATCACCCACACGGCTGGACTGTAAGGCTCTGGAAGACAAGAGGAAGCCAGTCAACCCAGGGTGCGTGACAGGTTAGGAGCTGCCTATCCATGCCCTCCCCTCCGGTACTCAAATCCTTTCCAATTATCTATAAAGAAAGGCTGATCTACCAATGGACACAGTGTGGTAGAGACCTTCAATGTCTCCAACATGTGTCATGGCACATCCATCCTTTGTGGCCATTCTCCGTTACTAACAAATGGGATAGGCAACAAAATGTTGACATTTGGAGTGGTCCTGTTCAGAGTACCCATCAGTGAACCTTGGTCTGCTTCAGAACAGTTCATTCTATATCCCTTCCAAATTTGTTTTCTTATTCCCATCCCTAACGGTCAGTTAGCATATGAAGTTATCACTGGGATTCAAGAGTTCTTTTAACCAAGGATTTTTCACCTCTTTTTTTATTTCTGCAAAACATGAGGTTTCTCCAGGCCTGCTAACGCAGTATTAAAGCTAAACCAGTGAATTATTCAAATATTAAGCAAATTACTAACATTATATTAGAAGTGTTAGGTAAAAGCATTATGAAACAGATTTAGAAGCAACAAAATGTGAACCATCCAATTTATTGTCTCCTAGACTGTCAGTCACTAAGGAAAAGCCTGCCTCAAGAGAAAGATGGTCTTTTCCTCTTTGCAGAAGGACAACATTTATGGAGCCATTAGAACTATGATGAGTATTTAAAAAGTGGAATTCTCTAACCAAAATGAGATTTCTGGTATCATGCTATACAAACACTACATGGTTCATTGTGATGATTTGTTTTGAGAAAGGTAAATGAATGAAGGAAATCATGTAGACACCAAAGACATAGAAACTGCCTTTATCAAACTAAGAAAGACATTTCCCATTTACTTTTCTCTCTATAGCAATTTTTCCTCATCCATAGGGTTGTCAGAGGAGTTCTTATACATAGGCATGAATAAGGTATAATTTCACAGTTGTGACTGCATGAAGTGATGCAGTTTCTAACATGCCAACCAAGTTATCACTGCTTCACACTTTTCATTCCAGCCAACATTACTTCATAGTTTTGTTACAACAGACTTCATAAAGTATGCAGAAGATGCACTTCTGTAGACACACAAGAGTCACATACCAGGGACTCAAACTGAATTTAAACTGCAACTCCAAATTGGGTTAAACGTTCATTATCTCCTGAATCAAACCAGAATCCTCATTTGAAGTTTACTTTCAACCCAAAGCAGAAAATTTCCTTCAACTGCAGGACAGGAAGAAGGATCGCAAGGTTTTAAGGGTCATCTAACCTACTAAAAGATGGAGACATGAGAGCTCTTCCGGTAGCTCAAATATAAATAAGTTATAAGCACATTAAAATTTAGACCTAGAATGACCTTTTTGTATCCCTTAAAAAGAAAAGGAACCCTTGCTGCTTTTTAATTTTAGAATTAAAAATGAAATTGATGGGCAAATAACACACAAACACACACATTCATGCACATTCTCACCAAATGGTCACCATGCAGAGTAACACTGATCACATATGTGAAGGTGGGGAGGGGCACTAACCAGGATTGTCAGTAAAATTTATCAGTCAAAGACCTAAAGCTGAACTGTTTTCAGAAGCATTAAGGAAACCTGAGTCACATGAAAAGTGGTAAAATGTGTATAGGGTCACAAATCAGTTTAGTATTTTTCAACAGGCATACCCTAAAGATATTTGCCTGTCCTTATCACAGGTAAATGAGGAAAGGAGAGGGGCAGAAAACACTGTTCCAGGCACTTTACAGCAGTAACATGTCTGCAGAAAGGTATATGAAAAGAATTGTGTTTTGCAAGGCCCAGGCAAAAAACAGGCAAATGTGAACTGAGTATATAAAATATTCATCTGGTTTATGGCTGGCCTTTCGGAGTAAGAAAGAAAATGATAATAACTTTCCAGATAATTACAGAAGGTTTGTCAAAATTGTGTTCCATTGTTTCCAGTGTTAACATTTCATGAGACAGAAATGCTTCGACAAGTCATTCCCACAAAGATGTGCTCGGGACCTTTAAAACTGCTAATTAAGTGGGAACAGCAACAGCTGCGACTTTACCTTTCCTTCTCCTTCCCAGTTCTCTACTCTGCCCCTCCCTCAGCCAGAGTAGCGCACACACACACACACGCACACAATTCCAGGTGTGCTGCACAGCAGGCAGGCAATGAGCAGGTGGAGGGGGGGAATGGGGCCACCTCTAAGTGAGGTAGGAGAAATGGCAGCTGTTCCATTTCCCACTCCCTCTGTGGGTCTCAGAAGAGGGAGAGGGAGAGAGAAAGGCAAAAGGCCCTGCTCCTTGTGCCCAGCATGGCCACACCTGGGGGTGGGGGGGGCCTGCCAGCTGAGGCTGAGTCTCCCTGCTTGCGTGGACTGAAGGCTGTGCAGCTGAGACACCACGTCCTGTCCCGTGTGGACGTGACCAAAATGGGGTGGGGAGAAGAGGAAAGGTACACAATTACAAAAAGGCATGTATAAAAAAAGGGAAAGAAGCAAGCACACACAGAGAACTGTTGTCAGATGACAGCAGCAAGAGAGAGAGAGAGAGCTTCAGCAGTAAAGGGCAGGCTGAAGGATGGGATTAATTCAGGCCCTCAAAATATAGCAACAGAGACCCATTTGTCAGCTTGTCCTTCCCTGTCAGGGAGGACAGAAACTTTTATCTGATGGCATCAGATGCATTTTATCAGCATCTTGAGGCAGAAGGGAGAGGGGAGAAGGAGAGAGAAAGCAAGGAGGGATCCCAACATGAGAAGCAACACACACACATTTCCATTATGTTTATGTTTGCCCCTTGTATGTCCAAGAAAAGAATATTTAGGCCACACTTCTCAGTGGATGCTCTTCCCAGCATGTTGCATTAGGACTCCCACCATCTCCAACTCTATGGTCTTGATACATTTCAAGGATGCTTGGTTAGGGGATGTGCTGGTTTTGATAACTATCCAGAAAGAGGCTGTTCCTCTCCTCTTTTGCTTATGTTCTCCCATATTTCCATTTGAAAAATCAGAGGAGAAAACAATTCTCGAATTATTTTCTACCATCACAATTTGTGATGACCTCCAGTAAAAAAACAAAAAAAAACCTTGTTCAAATGTATTCATTGGAATGTGAACTTTAGACTTTCGTACAGTGGTGCCTCGCTTAACAATTGCCTCATTTAGCGATGTTTTCGCTTAACGATGGTTTTTTAAAAGAATTCTATGCATCATTTAACGATGTTTCCTATGGGCAATTTTCGCTTAGCGACTTCGGTACCATGCTTCGCATAGCGAATGCGTTTTTAAGTCCCCTTAAGTCCGCTTAACGTTTTTTCAATTTTAAAAGTGTCTTAAAATGTTCAAAAATGTTTTAAATGCTTGGAATCGTTAGTGCACCTTCTAAAATGGGTGCAAACTTAATTTGGCTCTGATCTGACTTTTTGTTAATTTTTGCTGATTTTTTCCCCCACCAACTTTTGACAGCTGTCAAAATTTGACAGCTCCATGCTTTCCTATGGGGGAGAAAAA